AAAAGTGGATGAAGGGAGACGTCGGACAGGGCAAGATATGACAAAATACCCATTTATAAACTATCAAGGGCTCATGCGGGAGTGGGGAGCCGGGAGGGAGGGGAAAAATGAGGACCTAATGTCGGGGGTTTAAAATGAGAGAAAATGTTTTGAGAAACGATGTACAAATGCGCTTTACACAATTGATGTGTGTATGGATTGGGATAACAGTTGTATGAGGACCTAATGTCGGGGGTTTAAATGGAGGGAAAATGTTTTGAGAAACGATGTACAAATGCGCTTTACACAATTGATGTGTGTATGGAGTGGGATAACAGTTGTATGAGGCCCTAATAAAATGTTTAAAAAAAAATTTAAAGAACATTTATTTTAATACAAAAGACAATGTAAGTAAAGCAAAAGAACCAGGGGAAGAGTTGTAACAAGTATATGGGTAAGTGGGCTGTATTGGGGATTGTATCATAAGATTTTAGATTTTATCCTAAAAATACTGATATCCATTGAAGGACTTGGAGCATAGGTTGGATGTATCTTATTCTCTAAAATATATTAACAATGACTTTGTAACCTCCAAGATCATGTGATCTAAAAGGGATCGTAATAGGAAGTCATAGATAGTAGAGGAAAAGGTTGGAACAAAACTCAAAATCATAAACAAGACCAGGTTTACTGGCCTGATAGAGACTGGTGGAACCCCTGAGATTATGGCCTCTAGATACTCTCTAATCCTAAAACTAAACACATTCCCATGACTCAACCTTCAGCCAATCAACAGACAGGCTTACGAGATGAACAGTGACACCAGGGAGTGTGCACTCACCGGAGTCATCAGCCACATGAGATCAGAAGGGCAGTATGTGTCCAGGTGGAGAGCTCAGGAAGCTGACAGGTACCGGAAAGAAGGATGAAGGGAAGTGGTACACACTGGGGAAGTGGGAAAAGTGCTGTCACATTGGGGATTGGGATCCATGCCACAAAACAAAATGGATATGAACTGTTGAATGGAAAAGCAATTTGTTCTGTAAATTTTCACTCAAATCACAAATGACGACAAAGAAAAACATTAAAAATCAACTCAATGTTTAGAAAAATTTTGTTTCTTTCAAGTAATAGCATATTATTTTCCATAAAAATAGTATTTATTCTATTATTGTAGTGTATTTGATTTCTTCATCTGAATGTATTTTAATTTATCATTTTACTTGAATATAAGGATATTTAAGTAAATGAATAATGTTATTTATTATTAAAGGTCAGCTTTAGGAAGCAGTACTGTTTCTAGGTCAAGTATATCAACAACTGAATCAATAGCTGAAGACCTAGAAGAACCATCCTACAGACGAGAAAGATTGGTTAGTTATACAGGTAACGAAAATATACTCGTTTATTTCCATTAATCATTCATTCTCTATTTGCAAATCTATGTATTATATGGCAGGCACTTAAGAAAGAATATGATAATGATTTGAACAATTTCCAGGAAGGACGTATACATTGGGAAAGTCCCAGATGTACTGTTTCAGTTTGCATCACAAGCTTCAGGGACCACTGGCCCTATGTTAATAGTGTTCAACTTACAATTAGGAAGGCAAGTCATTCTCATAAAGTGTGATCAATGTCATAAAAACATTATGCAGGATGTCTGGGAGCACTTCAAAAGGAGCTATTAACACCTCTGAACTGAAAACACGACAGACTTCCCAGAGAATGCGACTGACTTGAAAGATGAATAGGAATTTTTTGGCAGAAGTAGCAGAAGCCCAGTCTAGGCAGAGGGTAAAGCATGAGGTAAGGAAAAGGATTATGAAAGCGAAGATACAAGAGCAAAGAAAATTATGGATGGCTAAAGGTGCTGGAGGTTTCAACATCATTTTACATGTGCAGTTCAGTAATATACATCCTGTTGTGCAATCATCACCACAATGTGTTGGCCAACCTTTTGCTATATGCATATGTACCACAGTAACATTAAAACCTCTGCGAACAATGAGTAGCCCCTTGCGACTCACTTGGCATGGAGTATACTAAGTATATCTTTCATTTGAGAAGGTAATGGGGGCGGGGGTTGGTGAACATATTGATAAGGTTGGAACATTGATATGTGTTGGACTTATTATTGGTACTAAGACAAGTAGTTGGAAGGAATGTTTTTGACGAGTAATGGAATACCTAGCCATTATTAGCTTAAACAAATACAAACTATTTTCTCACACTAAAAGAAGCTAAGAAGTAGTCAGTTTTTGGCATTGATTTTGTGAACTCAATTATGTTCCACTCTGGAATCGCAGTTATGTCGTTCTCTTTTCTTATGCCCCTTGCTGCTTCCTCCTGGTCTCAAAATCCCCCTCCCAGCTCTTGATATTGTATCTACATTAAAGGCAGAATGAAGGATAAAGGGGACAGAACTAGTCTCATTCTCCCCTTTTATCAGGAAAGCAAAATCTGTCTCAGACCCCTTCCGCTTTCATTTGACCCGTCTAAAACCACCTGTAAAATGGGACCCATCCTGGCATTTCTGTGACTAGGAGGAAAAATGACAAATTGAAATGAACAAAAAAACAATTAGTAAGTGATTTTTTTATTGTCATGTCTCTTAGATTTACGAGTTGTAAGAACGACAACTGAAAAAGTTTTAACAAAAGAAGATTTGGAAAAGAACATAGAGATAATACTCACAGAGTCAGAAACACTGAGGTTTTTTGACCTGCCAACAGTCCTGGTCTCTGTAGAATCTGATGAAGCGGAGAAAGTAAAGTATGTATGGCTCAATTGTCTACTTTGATTTTGTAATTAAAATGCTAAAGTCAAGGTTTCTTACTCTTATGTGTGAGAAAGTTTCTTTGGGATTCCTGGATAAACAGTGAGGGTGTATGTACTCTGTAAAAGTAGGAGTGTAGACTAAGCTATGTGCTTATGTTGTATTACATTTTTCTAGAGGAAGATGACATAGCATTTACTTATTCTTTGTTTTTTTGGGGGGATTGGCCACTAAAAACTTTATCACCAGCACCAAAACACTGATATAATGCCAGAAATATGGGCCCCACAGGTTGGAAGACACTCAAAATATAACTGGAGAAAATCTGCATCCTCAAACTAGTCAATCTTTTTTTTTTTAAATCATTTTATTAGGGGCTCATACAACTCTTATCACAATCCACACACACATCAATTGCGTAAAGCGCATTTGTACATTCATTGCCCGTATTTACTTATTCTTATAACAGTAGATGCACTAATAAGGCAAATCATATAAGTAGTAAGGGAAGCTAAACAACTCTCCATGTAAGTTTTAATATTCTTTGTGCATATAAAACGATCAGTTTAAAAAATAAAGAACTGACTTTATATTTAAACATTAGGAAAGTGATATGGGGCAAGAACTAATTCACTTAGATCAGAGTTGCCTATTAGCCTTTTTTAATTATAGAAATAGACTATTAATAGAAGTATCCAGATTACTTAGAATCCAATATCATTTAGATATGAGTTGTAACGCTTACTGAAAAACAGTCCACTTACTTTGGGGGCAATATCCTGACCCAAATATAAAACATGCAAGAGTGTTGTCTGGACTATAAAAGGTACAGTAAAATAGGTGCATTGGAGAGTCTTCCTATTGTTGCTACAGTGAAATCCAGAGTACTGCTTTCTAGAGCTCATAAGAAGTAAAGGAAAATCCCTAGGATGAAAAGAGGAGAGGAAAGAAACAAAGAGGAAGACAAGTTACCTGACATCAGAGAGGGGAGGCAAGTTGTCATCAGAAGCAGGGAAGTGAGCTACACAGGGTTTGTGCTGGGAGCAGCTATTAATGTTAACATAGGCATCTGGAAGTCACCAGTATGTCGTGGGGCCCTCACAGACTGAGGGAGCTCAAGGACAAATTCCTCTAATAAATTAGGACCCTCAAAGGACTCTTAAGTGGTCCTAGGTCAGTAGATTCTACTGGCTATCATCAAAAACAAACACAAATCTTTAGAGGAAGCCTTGTGCAGGATAGGCCATTAAAGTTCCTTTACCTTGAATTTGGTTAAAGTACAAAAGGAACAACAAATGCAAGGCATTCTAAGTGAGAGTAAGGCAAAATAACAAACCATAGATCTAAACTCTGAGGACGATGGAAAATGGTATCAGATTTAAAATATAAAAGATATGTTAAATATTTAAATAAATAAAAGTTAAAATATGCTTAGTATTAAGGAACTATCAAAATAACAAACCTGATGTAGGAAAAAAAAATAGCTACAAAATGTGTGTGTGTGTGTTTGCATACACTTCCCGTTTGTAAGTGACAATTACTGCTACTAGGGTCCCAGTTCATACATGCACAGGTTTATTTCAAACACAGTCTGTTTAGACATGTTTCTGCTCCCAGCGGATGGCTGCAAAGCAGTTCCCTCAGTAATCTACTTCCCTCGGTCTCCTGAGGAGGTCTTCTGTCAAAAGGTCCAATCAACAATGGCTTCCATTCCTGAGCCATTTAAATTCAAGGCAGAGAAACCAGCTTGGAAGATTATGGCAACTGTGTTTTGGGATCCCCAACAGTTAATTTTGATCATTTTTTCCAAAGGACACATGATGATCATGGAGGCTTTTATTATGAAGTTTTCAGGATGAGTTAAAAAGTCTGGGAAGTTACACCTGGGAAATTTTTTCATTACAACTATACACCTGCTCATACTGTGAGGGTAGTAAGAGGTGTCCTGTGAGAACACACACAAACACGCACTCACATACAGATATGTAAACATAATGGAATAGATATTTCATGAATTGTAAAATAGATATGGATAAATTATATCAGAATGAAGGTTGGAATTATAAGAGGACATAAAATATGAAAGAGAAGTTAAAAAATATGTTGATAATAGTCTTTTATACATATAATCAAAGTTTCAGAAAGAAAAAAATAAGATGAGATACTATTCGATGAGTAGATAAACACTTTAAATATAATCTATCAAGGGGTCACAATGGTGGGGTTGGGGCAGAGAGGGGAAAAAGAGGAGCTGATACCAAGGGCTCAATAGAATATAAATGTCTAGAAAAGAATGATGACAACACATGTACAAATATATATGATACAATTGATGTATGGATTGTAATAAGAGTTGTAAGATACCCTAATAAAATGATAAAATTTAAAAAAGAAAATGAAATAAATAAAAAGTCCACAAAAAAGAATTGTACTTGGTACATTCTGCTGACATGCAAAACCACTAAATATAAAAAGATGATTTTTAAAATTGAAAGATGGGAAGAAAGGAAATAAAAAAAACATATCACCGATAAACAATCAAGTTGATAGTGTTATTAGAGATCAAGAGGATATAGAAATTTATGACAGTTATACTTGAAATCTCCTAGTACTATAACTTCAGAATATATGAAGCAAAAATTGGAAATTTGGTAAGACTAATAGAGTAGAGGTTTTAAAAATACTTCTCACCCATTGATAATGTCAATCAGACCAAAAATATTACTGAAGATGTAGAGATTTTGAAGTAAGAATCACTTGATTTAATGGCCATATATTGAACTTGACACTTAATGGGGCACACACATTATTCTTCTCAAGCAAAAGTGGGAACATTTACAAAATGCATTCATGCACATGACCACACATCAAGGCCTTGAAACATCTCAAAGGTAGCGATCATATAAACTATATTCTTTGACCACATGCAGTGAAGTTAAAAATTAATAACATAAATCTCAACTAACACATAGACATCATTCATCTACCCATTTGGAAATAAAGCAGACCATTTATAAATTTTTCATGGATCTAGAAGAAATCATAATGCAAATGAGAAAAATAAAACAAATGGAGAACCACACTATTAAGAAAATATTTCATATTTTCAGGATGCCACAAAAGAAAGACTTTTGAAGGAAATGTATAATTTAAAATTAAAAAATAAAAGAATACAGTTATCACTTGATATCTGTGATGGATAATTCCAAGACCCCTGTGGATCCCCAAATCCACAAATACTCAAAAATCCCTTAAATAAAATGGCTTTGCACTTGCATATAACCCGTGCTGCTTCTCTCATATACATTAAATCATCTTCAGATTACTTATGAGGACTAATATAATGGAAATGCTATTTAAATAGCACTTAAGCACCTCTTAGCATTTGAGAGATTGCTTTGACCACTTAATTGCTTTGGTTTTTTAAAAAAAAAAATCTCCAGTATTTTCGATCTGAGGTTGGTTGAATTCGCGGATGTAGGATCTCCTGCATACAGAGGGAAGGCGTTAGTGTTAGCTTGTTGTTGCTAGGGCATGAAAGTAGTGGGGCTTGTTGGGAGGTATACTATAAAAGAATCTTTTGAATGTAGTTCTATGCAAAATCTTTTTCTAATGATACTTTTGATCTTTCACTTTACTTTTCAGTTGCAAGAGAAAAGGTTGTGTTGAGTAATGACTTATGTGGCAATAATTAATTTTCTTAATGAATTGAGTATACTTTATTTTTTTACAGCCAGAGAAACATAAAGTATGAAATCCTTTGTAAAAATAGAGCCGGCAATGACTTATATGTTGAAAGGATGATGCAGACTATCAATGGGGCTCCAAAGACGAAAGAAGTTCAATGTGACAAAATCTTAATGGAGGACAAAGGTAACCCGTATTTAGTCTATTTATTTAAAACACATTGGAGAAAAGGCAAAACATCAGTGTAGAAGATCCATCTCTTGGAGACCTGTATTTTACAGAGTCAAACTGTTTCCTAAGGTTCTCTTGGCTGCAATCTTGTGGGAAAAGTTGGCCAGGACTCTCTTCCGTGGAAATGCTGAGTGACTTAAACTGCCAGTCTTTAGGTTAACAGACAATTGCAAACTGTTTATGCCACAGAGGCTCCCACGGTCTGCTTAATAAGCTACCCTGTTTAAAATAGTTTTCTTTGAATCAGTCAATTATTTAATAAGTGGAACTTCATAAGCCAAAAATAAACATACAAGGAAATTTTGGCCAAATCACAACAGCAGTTGGGTCCTGTGTTAGTCTGGGTAGACTAGAGAAACAAAATTCATTAGACACTCATATTTTATGAGTTTTATATAAAGAGTAGCTGTACATTAAGAAAGCATCCCAACCCAGTCCAGTCCAAACACATAAGTCCGACACTAGCCATATGTCCGACACTGATCTACAAAGTCCTCCTCAAACTCACAAAACACATGCAATGACACCAAATGTAGAAGGAAAGCTGAATCAGTGAGCGTGTAAGTATCTCAGCACTGTCAGGGTTTTCCACACGGCTTCTCCAGCACCCAGAGCTGCATCAGGGTAGGTCCATGTGGCTTCTCCTCAGGCATGTCTCACAGGAAGTGAGCCTTGCCAGCTGAGGCAAAGAACTAGCTAAGGCAGCTGCAGACTGGTCTGACCATCAGAGAACAAGACACCAGAGAACAAGAAAAGCAAGACTCACCGAGCCCATTTATTTCTCTGCCTTTCAGTTCATCCCACGTGTTTATCGGCCAGAATGCCACAATAAACCTTAACTATCACAATCCACCCCTTGCTAACTTTGCACCTGTACACAATTCTTTAGCCTAACAATTCCAGTTAAGTAACACCTACACCTTAATCCTATAAATATATTCCCTCACCTATGAAAGTTTGTAAGCCAACCACTTCATGCCTTTATCCCCCCAGTTTTGGGTATCCAATTTCTATACTGCCCACTTACATCAACCCTGTTCTCTGAGGAGATAATCATATTTTTTGACGTGAAGAATCTTCATTTCAGTTAGAACCTTGTGAAGTCTGAATCCATAAGCAAAGTCAAATCAGGACAGGCCATCCATAAAGTCAGCAAAAATATACACTGGTTCACAAGCTCAAAAATCTCTTCATCTGGTTGGGTTCTGGTCAACTAAATGTAGGCTGCCTCACATAGCCTTCCCAGGGTGCCCGTTGGTCACCTGCCTTTAGACCACTGGTTCTCAACCTTCCTAATGCCATGTCTCTTTAATACCTCATGTTGTGGTGACCATGTGTGGTGACCCCGTTTGGTGACCTCATTTTGTGGTAGCCCTGTATGGGGCATATCTGCATGTGGGCAGACTCGCCTGGACACAGATGGAGGAGCGGTTGATTCCTAAGACCATTGGAAATATGGTCTTAGGCAACTCCTGGGAAAGGGTCGTTCAACCCCCAAAGGGGTTGCGACCTCCAGGCTGAGAACCACTGCTTTAAACCATGGGTTCTCACAAATACTCAACAATCCTAGCCCCCTTGTGCTAGGTCATGAACTTTAGACCAGTCAACCGGGTCTCGTCTTCTCTTTTTCTTGTAAACCAAGTCCACAGGCATGAGTGGCCAGATTCAACTTGTCTCTTTATTGCTGCATTTCTCCCACTTCCACTCAACCAATGGATCCAGATGGTCATCTAGCAAGCATTTCAGCCTGCCCACAGGCTCCCTTTAACGTTCAGTCCCACAGAGGAGTTTTCTTCATGTGTCCAGATATTTTTCCAGTTACTGGCCCAAACCACTGGCTCAAAATTCCAAAATCCAGAGTCCCTCTTTTCCTTCACTCTGTCAGTCTTGCCCCGCAGCAAGTCTCTTAGAATGCAAATATCCTGAGTACTCCAAAGCACAGGGTGGGGCTTATCTTTTCAAAGCTTTCTTTACAGGCATGGCCTAAACCCATCTAAAGATCAAATTTTAATGGCTGAAAGAAAGTGGGCTTACAAGTTTTCTATTTCCACACTTTCCAATAAACATTTCTATAAATCATTATATCGATAATAAGCAGAAGAAATCAGTATAAACAAAAATAGAATCAGATCCTAAATCAAATTCTTTAAAACAATCAAGCTCCATCCTTATCTAGCTTGTCTAAATCCTTATCTAAAGTATTCTATTTATACAAAAATATGGATTAGGTCTCTGAGAGCATTAAACCAGATCCAGGCTTTCTGCCAGCCATATTGACCTTCTGTCAGCCATTTTCCTTAAGCAACATGGTTTCTGAGAAATTCAAATGGTGATTTCTACCCCTGAGCTCAAAATATGCTAATCATATTCATTTTTGCCATTTTAAACAGGAACAATGAAAGACAACAATGAAACAAAATAATCAAAACTTTAACTTCCCATATTCTTTCCAGAAAACAACCGAGTAAGCAGTGTGTCATTTTTGACCTCTGGTTAGCCACAGAAGAAGAACTACCATGAGAGAGAGGAGATGTTTTATTTATTACTTATACCAAAAAAAAAGAATAGCAAGAAGATAAATGAGTTATTCAATTAAGAAGTACAAAAGGGGCATCAGCTATTTTTTAAAAGGAATTAATGTAGAAAAATCTCTAGCAAACAAGTTTGACAATTTAAAAAATAATGGACTCTATATACATCTTTTCTTCCTTTTATAGGTTTATTGATATAAAATTCAAGTATCATACACATCCATAATTAAAATTCTTTCAAAAAGAGTTGTATATATATCATCACAATCAGTTCTAGTGCAACCCTCTCCCCACCTGCGTTATTTGCTCTCCAATTCCCCTCATCTGCTCCCTATTCCCTATAACCATCGAATCAGTTATTGTCTATGTATCCACTCCTTCTGTGCATCATAAAATGGGAAACCTTACTAAAACAATAAATAAAATGAAACAAAGAAAATAACAATAATAATAATAAAACAGATTAAAAATAAAAAAGAAAGAAGAAAACCACCAGCAGTATTAAAATAAGCCAGAGAGAAATTTTTTTTGTCATGGAACAAATGAGAAATATTTAAGCCGAGAGTAAATTCAGGTTGGATCAAGAGGAAGGCCAACTGACCAGGCATCATATTATACTGTAGTTCCATTCCCCATAATCAAGTTATGCAATCATCTTTGTCTGGTAGCAGAACTTTTCACACCTCTCGACCAGGGCCAGAGGGCATCTGCCAGAGGCGTAATTGGACTAGGTACTCTGCAAATAGTTGTGGCTGTTTTCTGCAAATAGGAGGGCCCCACAGCCCTCCTGAGCCTTCTACAAATTGGGTATTCACAATTTAAGCTCTGATATTTTTCCCTACATCATATTTGGATTTTTGTTATTATCATCTTTAGATCACACAGGCTAGTATTCTTCTTCCATGGGGACTTAGTTGATGCCTCACTTATATGGCTGCTTGTCTGAAACAAGGTTTAAGACCCAAGACATATTCTTTCTGGTAGCTAGGCACCATCTGCTTTCTTCACCATATTTTGCTATAGCACTTCAGTGATCTTTTCATGATGATGAGTATAGAGCAGGGCCATGTTATAAGAAAGAACTCTTCTTCGATTGGGGCTAGAATTAAGTGGGAGCCCAGAGTCCATTTACTTGTCCTCAGGTTATGATCAGTCATATTATCATTTTATGACAAAGGGAAAAATGTATTGATCATCCCCCTGGGCTATAAGGACATCCCATTGATAGTATCACGAATTTATACAATGGCATAGAATTTTTTTTTATAAATCATTTTGTTGGGGACTCTTGCAGCTCTTTTAACAATCCATATGTCAATTGTGTCCCCCGACATTAGGTCCTCTATGTGTGTCAAGCACTTTTGTACATATGTTGCCATCATCATTTTCAAAATATTTTCTTTCTACTTGAGCCCTTGGTATCAGCTCCGCTCCCCCCTCTACACTCCCACCCTTGTCACCCCTTGATAAATTATGAATTACTATTATTTTCATATCTTATACAGTCCTGCTGTCTCCCTTCACCTGTGTTTCTGTTGTTTTTCCACCTGGGGGGGGGCAGTTATACATCGATCATTGTTATCAGTTCCCCCTTCACGCCCCCCCATCTTCCCCCTACCGTCATGGTATCATTACTCCCATTATTGTTCCTGAGAGGATTATCTCTCCTGGGTTGTGTGTATCAAGGACTCTTATCTGTACCAGTATACATGCTCTGATCTTATAAGGTAGATCTGGGGTCATGATGGGCGGGCAAGGAAGCATTAAAGAACTAGAGGAATGTTGTGTGTTTTGTCAGTGCTATACTGTACCCTGGCTGGCTCATCCCTTCCTTGTGACCCTTCTGTGAGGGGATGTCCAATTGTCTACAGATGGGTTTTGGGTCTCTACTCTGGGCATAGAATTAAGGTTCTGTTGAAAAAAGAAGATTATGTGACTATAGTCTAGTTGCAAACTGCAATCCATGAGTTGTTTATACAGATTGAATTCTTTAATTATTGAGCTCAGTGTACATTTTTGAACATGGAGTTGGTGCTAGGGGGAAATTTCTTATAACATTCTTACAGGGCAGACCCTTGCCTACCAGATTACTAGCTGTCATATTAATGCCAAGAGGGCATTGAGATAGTAAATAGAGGGTGGTTCTGGGTTCCCTTTCATTGGATGCCTACTAAACCAAGGATCCCGTGCCTTTTCCAGTTTCAAGATGGCCGTCATTTGCTTCCTCTTCCATGTCAGTCCTAAGTCCAAGGGATACAGGTAATTTTGAAGTAGAGTTCAGTTCCTTCAGTCAGGCTTCCACATGGAGTCCTGGTGTGGCCCTTGGGGGCTGCCATGTTCCCCTTAAGTCTTTTGGTCTCTTAACTGCTGCTTCCATGAGCATTGATTATGGATGCAAGCAAGACAAAATCCTTGACAGCTTCA